TTATTGTTCCAATATAAATATTTATAATGAAATGTCCATGATAAAGAGATCAAAGGGACGTCTGTTATAAGGAACAAATATACGTGGACATCAATATCATGCAGTTTAAACACAAGATTTAATTGGTACACAGTTAATATAAATCTTTAAATCACTTTTGTGGTTTGATACGATACCCGCATTTAAAGTCTAATGTGTCAACCTCAGCGTCGAGTATATACCATTTCGTAACATCTCTACTCACAATACAGTCTAATCAATCCATATACAAATGTAAAAAAATATAAAAACAAACAGTTCAAGAAATTGTAAATCTGAAAATTCTTAAAGTACAGAATAAACTCACCGAATTATTCATGCTTTCCCCCATAGTGGAACGTTCGCGTCAATTAAAACGCCATGTATTTAAAACTAAGTTCTATACTGATAACTTAATGTAGTGTAATTTATATGACCAACGTACACGCGACCTCAAAAACCAAATATCCGGCCACGAAAATGTCAAAATGTTAATTCTTTATGACATTAAATCATGATTAAACGCCATTATCCTAATTTTGAAAGAAGCATTTAAACATAATATTGTAAAACAAAACTACTGGCAAAATGATTGAAATGTGTCAAATTAGATAAAATGTTTCTTAATCGCAAATTTAATCGATGATTCAAACAGAACGATTAATTAAGAACACATGTACTTGTATAAATTGTTTATAAAGACGTCTTCCTTTTTGGGTGAGACAAAAGTTAGAAATTGATTAGTAAATGCATTGTTTACATATGAACATGCAGTCTTAATTGATCAGGTGATATCTTGTTTATATAGGCCTAAACTATAAAGACTTTTGAAATGTCAAGAACTTAGTTTTCTTTCTATTTTTTCTTATTCTTCACTAGTGATTGCAAATTCTTACCTGATTATATCAACGATTTCTGGCTACTTGTTTCCTTTGACAAGGCAGATAAATTTGGATTTATTTGTCAAAAAATAAACCGCTCAAGTCAATGCACGTGCACACACTTCAGTAATCTCATTAATTAAAATCACATTTATATCAACATAATCGAAGGATGGATTTTTTTTATATACCAATTGATGTTACTATCCGTATATTATTAAGTGGACTACCGCTCGGTCGTATGCCACACAATATGAAGTCGCTTATCAACAACCATCAATTAATGTAAAATAATATGTAAAGCTTATTTAGTCTTTTATCTTTCTTGTCCCTTGTCTGTGAGAAAATCTCTCTGTATAGTATGACACTACCAAAAATAAAGACGAATCAAAGATACTTGATATTTCAATTGTTTTTTAAATACTTTGTTTTTGTTTATTTAGAGGAATATAAACCAAGATATAAAAGATGGGTAAGATACCAGTTAATTACAGAGATTTGAAGATTCAATATTACTCTTCAGAAATAGTTTGCATGTATAATTCTGACATTTTATTTTGTCATCAGAAAAAAATTCATTACAATATAAACATGTAAATTGTTTATAACATGAGACAAAACTGAATACGACCATAGTTTAAAGCATCGTTTCAGTAATTACAATGTGTTCTGAAATTTAAAATAAATAAGTTTCATTATTGTCAATATACATAAGGTTGCATCCTATATCAAAATTTTGTTGTTCTCTGTACATTTTATGTTTTTCCAGTAATAGTTATCCAATGAGGACGCGATGTGTCAGTTTTAGATCAGTCCGACGGCCGGAGGCCAGAGGGTGATCTTACACTGACACACCAAGTTCGAGTGGGATAACTATTTTACATCCCAGCTCTTCTATACTATATAAAAAAACATTTACGCTTCATAACATCTAGTTCAGAATTCCATAGAATAATTATAATATACTTTATATACTACTATATAATATAACCCTTTATGAGCCGCCGGATACAATGTTTGAATATGTTAAATTAACAGTAAGTTTGTTCCCAGTCGTTCTGGTGTAGAGGTTTGAATCGTGGCTTCACATGCTGAAGGTCTTGAGTTCGATTCCCCGCATACACACTGGAAATTTAGTGGATTTTTTCTACATAAATTTTGAAAGTTCGTCTTTATTCCGCATAAATATTTCTAATTTTTATTTTGTGTTCGACATTCCCGCCAAAATGTTACAGAACAAAAGAAAGCATGCAGAACAAAGAAACTCAACGTAGGGTGATCTGGTAGGGGTGATTCTGATTCGGATCACCCCTGTTAGAACAAAGGAGTTGGGATGTAACTGATCGAGATCAAGAGACAACTTTAACCCCGTCACGTGATGTGAATATTCCTTAGTAATTATCAGAGACATATAATACTATATATGTCTCTGTAATTATATATTATTCACCAAGTTGAATATCATATAATATTTGATCCAGTGTGATGAAGACTAAGTCTTGTTATTACTTGTGTATTCTTTTATATTAGAATAATGTGAGTTAATTTGCAGTCTTTTTAAGTATGCACCGTTGTTTTATCAATTATACATCAATACCAACGTTGCATATATACTGAAAACATATTTGTAAAGAATTATTTTATTGCATAAATATCTTTTTAAAAATGGTAATTCCGAGACAAAAATTCTTAGACACATTTATTGCCACCAATCCTCCAAAAATATGATAATCATTAAAGTATGCACTTTTTGATTTTCACAAACCTTAGTAAATCTTATTTTTTTTGGGCTGTTTTCAGTATTTACAAAACTCTTAATAATTTAAAAGATCATACATATAAAAGTCATGCAGATGTTTTATAAATAAATATCACTGTGTTATGTTCGGCACATACAATTATTAATTTCCAGGTGTGTAAAATTTTCATAGTGCCCTTGTTATCTTGACAATCTCATTAATTCTCATGGTTTAAAATAAATAAGCTTGGTCGTATGCATGCACATGTGGTGAGGTTAAACTATTATTTAGCCATCTGCATGGTCGAAGTCAAATGGGAGCTTTTAATTGCTATCACTAAGTGGCCGTTGTCCCGGCAGACTTTTCAAAGGCCTTCCCAACTACGGTAGTAGGGATCATTGTTGTGTTTTCCGATATGAATGTCTGTTCGCCCGTTAGTCCGTCCAGCACCCGGTTAAACCGGTTGCAGTTTAATGCAGTTTATCATGAAATTGTGGCCGCATCTACTTGAAACTAAGTACACATATTCATTTTAAAAATTTACACACTTTGTCTCGAGGTTATTGATGTGTAAACCGAGTCACTCACTCGCAAGACAGACTTGAAAACAAAATAAAATAAGGAGATGTGGTACAATGAATAGTCAAATAATATATAAATGATATATTATAAAATCTGCAAAAGGACTTTTGATCACAACATTCATGCGAGACATAACCAATATCTTTGATACACGACCTGACAAAAAATAATATAATAACAACGTCATTAACATACAAACTGATGTCATTGTGATAGACTTCGCCAGAAATTTGACAAAATCCCTCACAAAAGAGTACTGCATTAAAATACTATGGGATAGACAATAATACCTTAAATTGGATACGTGATTTTTTTTAAAAACCGTATACACAGATAATCCTACTATATGCAGAACAATTTAAGACAATAGAGATAACATCTGAATGCCACTATGCATTGCATGTCCTTGGCCAAAGTCCCTTTCTTATCTACATGAACGATTTCATAGAATATCTACAGCACACTCACTCTAAAGCTATCTGTCGAGGACTGCATCATCTATAGAAGCATCAAAAACAAAGATGATGCCTCCAAACTATAACAGGACTAAAATTCAACTTCATAATGGGGACAAGACTGGTTTATCATCTCATTCCATCTAGGTAAATGCTCATCATCAGAATCATAAAAAAAAACAGTCAACTATGATTACATCCTTCATGATCCTTCATGGGCATACACTCCAAATTGAAAAAGCAACACAATATTTTAGGCGTAACAATACAATATTCTTGAATAGAATAATCATATAGCCATGATAAAAAAACCATACTATCAGCTATCTCTCAATGTATGCTTGAACCGTGACCTACAGTGGTGACCCAGTGGCGGATCCAAAACTTTTCATAAGGGGGGCCCGCTGACTGACCTAAGGGGGGGGGGGGGGGGGTCCAGTCATGCTTCAGTGATTCCCTATATAATCAACCAAATTTTTCCCACAAAAGGGGGGGCCCGGGCCCCCCAGGGCCCCCCTGGATCCGCCTATGTAGTCTACACTACAAAGTGAGACTAGACTCGTGGTATTCAAGATAGAAAAATGTACATCAATTAACGTCTGGCAATATATCCAAAATATGTTCTAATAACATAAGACAGTAGAAAAGACTTTAACCATGTAAACATATTCACCACTACATAAAAATCCAAACAAATAAGTAATGTCTCGGAGTCAAAATGATAAATTATATCTGCGCCGCGACACTAGTATAGTATAATGGAATTTGTTAGTAAGATCAGCAGTCTCCTGTTTCACCCACGGTAGTCAGTAGTGGGAGGCTTCAGGCAGCAGATTTCAATATCAACTGCATAAAAAGTACTATGTTCATAGATTTACCAAGCAAATACATGGGTACAAATATACATACAGTGGCGGGCGGATCGACCAAAAGGGGGAGGGGGTCCTGGGTTTGGAACCCCCCTTTTTGTTTGACAACTAATGCTTTTGTATGGAGACATACGGTTGGACCCCTTTACATGACTGCATGTGCTGGAACCCCAGTTAATAAATGTATGGATCTGCGCCTGCATAGGATCATAATCCAACTTGGAAAAATGAATGCAAAATAACAAACTTTTTTTTTTTAAATACAGTTATTTTTGCTCATCAAATTAACTAATAAAATATTACTTATTTTTTGTTGGATTCTTAAACCAGTTGTGCATTAACCACACATGCAACGTCTAGTAACAGTTGAATTTGAAGACAGTTGAGAGAAAACAAAACGGATATAAATCGTATCCAGTCCGGATCCAAGGGAGGCAACTCTATTTAGAAATCAAGAGCACCACCTGTCAAATTTTCACCCAAGATCAAGAGCTCATTTATCTATTTGAAACTGATATAAAAGGGAACGCTAAATGGGTGATCCTGGTATCACTACTTTTATGAAAAATGTTCTCAGTAACTACTCGTCCATTAGAGGTAAATATTAGTCCAATTAATCATTTAATGTTGTGAAATGAAAGCGCAGGACAGGTACACGTACAGGTGGCACGGTAGTATTTCCTGGCCCATAAGGGATAATGATAGCCTTTTTAGAATTTTCACCACTTTCTAACACTGCTAAAAATTCTACATTCACAGTTAACTGAAGTACTTTCATTTTACTATTCAGAAATGAATTTGAATATGTATCATGACCGTTTACTTTTTTTGCTATCTTTAAGAACCTAAGGCCACTAGTGCTTTTAGGTCTTTTATCGTGCAGTGAATACAAAATTAAAAAAAATTCTCAAAAATTCATTTTCATCTGTATGTAAAATTATTTCCTATTTTTCTACACCTGATTCATCCCTCAGTTTGGGAAAGTATGTGCAGTTGATACTGTATTTTTTGTCCAATCATAATGTTCAGATACATTGACTTAAGTAGGGTACACAAAAGAGCAACCTAAATTCTGGAATGCAAATACTACCGTGCTACCTTAACCAAGACATTTCAAACTTGAAATCAGTCATGACACCTATGATGCATAGCCTTCTTACTATGTAACATATTACAATAAAGAATACTAGTCTGCACTTATTTTATACCCAAAAAAAATGAAAGATTACACCCCTACCCCAGCTGGCAGATTTTCACTTTTTTATCATCTTACCATTTTTACTTAAGGAGTGAACAAAATCCAAATATATGATGTTTTAAATCAACACAGAAGTCAAACATGGTGATTCAGGAGGAATTATTGAATTGCCAACTCTATTTATAGTTAATCTGACTGAAAGAAACAGTTTAAGCACCAAATCATGAAAAATGATATTAAAGTCCATTCCACATTTTACAGCATGCCTTACATTACTTTAAGCATTTCTAGATTATGAAGGCAACACAACAAGATTCTTTAGATGGCAGTTAACTATTATTCTAAAATCTTTTTGACAATATATGTACTAGAATATATCTCTAAGTTGACTGTTTGTCTATTTCTCATGAATGCATTAAGTTAAATTATGTCCCCTTACATAATCATTTTACCTTTATTGTGCTTTTCATTGTCAGAAAATCAAAACAATTAATGACATTTGCATGGAAAATGAATAAACTATTCAATCTTGCTGATAAACAGTCATAATTACATTCTTTGTAAAAAAAAATAGTCTTGTCAGTGTAAAGAAACCCCTATTGCTATCTCTATTTCAGCCAAATATGAGGGCTAAATGAATAAGTAAGGACCAAATTAACCACTTGCTGGTTCCAAAAAAGCTCATACTGGTGTCATGTTACCACAGAACTACAAATTAAACCTAAAGAAAACTAGTAAAGCTGTACTTGTGTGGAAAAAAATGAGAAATTATGCAATTTATTTATTTCGGTCAAAATAATAGGATGTACAGGCAAATAAAATATGTCGCGTCTCAAATTCCAGTGGTTGCACATGTGTCAGACACTGCGATAAGTTAAAGCGAGCATTTATAATTAAAAATGTATTGCAAGTTACATAAAAATAATGAAGTTCTACTTTCTAGGTAAATTTTTACTTTATTACCCATAGATCAGGCAAAATTTGCTGAATCAGCAATTTTCACTCCCAGGGGTGGAATTTAAGGGCTGTTTTTATCATAGTTGCCCTTAATCAACTTTTTATTGATAAACTTACAAATTGCATAGGTAAAAAAAAATCCTTCATTGATTTAGTGTAAACATGTATATCCCCCTTAAGGTGGCATGGTAGTATTTCCTGGCCCATAAGGGATAATGATAGCCTTTTTAGAATTTTCACCACTTTCTAACACTGCTAAAAATTCTACATTCACAGTTAACTGAAGTACTTTCATTTTACTATTCAGAAATGAATTTGAATATGTATCATGACCGTTTACTTTTTTTGCTATCTTTAAGAACCTAAGGCCACTAGTGCTTTTAGGTCTTTTATCGTGCAGTGAATACAAAATTAAAAAAAATTCTCAAAAATTCATTTTCATCTGTATGTAAAATTATTTCCTATTTTTCTACACCTGATTCATCCCTCAGTTTGGGAAAGTATGTGCAGTTGATACTGTATTTTTTGTCCAATCATAATGTTCAGATACATTGACTTAAGTAGGGTACACAAAAGAGCAACCTAAATTCTGGAATGCAAATACTACCGTGCTACCTACAACAGGTCAGGAATAACCACCAATTGGTGGATTATACCTCAATTGACGTATAATCCACCAATTGACATATATTGGTATAGACCAATTGACGTATAATGCAAGTTTTTTTGTTATAAAATGCTAGTGTGAGATAGGAGCATCATTTTGCAACTCACAACCTATTTTATGACCATTATTGAGTCCTCCGAAAGTTTCAGTTTTGTCAAAGCCTGCTGCATCTCTTGAGAATGCATGTGTACAACAATTCTTTTGTTGAAACATCTGTACTATTGACCATGATTGACTTTTAATAATGAAAGTCAAGTATTAACAAAGAGCTCCATTCACCTGTGGAGTTGTACTCATAATCACATGACTGCAGACAGTATTGATGTCCATTGACAGTTGATTAGTGGTAAATTTGCCAATCAAGAATTGACAAGATAACAATAGAAGAAACTGCAAATACAATTATTGATTAAATGCAATATGTTATGTCACTATACTAAACTAGGAATGTTTGACATGTTTTCATACAATAATATGGTTTTAAGAAAACAATGCTCCATTTTGGTTGAATAATTTGCTTTGAAAAACAAAGAATTATACGTCAATTGGTCTATACCATTATATATCAATTGGTGGATTATACATCAATCGAGGTATAATCCACCAATTGGTGGTTATTCCTGACCTGTACAACAAAAAGTCAACATACACTTCTGGTTCAGTCACTGAAATGCTGCAAATACAAAAATGGACAGCTCTTGAGAAAAGGCAAATATGAACACGCATCATCTGTTTCTACAAAATCATACACCATCTTGAAGCTATATAGGAAAATAAATTTACCAAATTGACACACCTAACTGAAGCCGCAGGTTTTAGTGACAATATACAGAGTGGAGTTATCTTTCTTTCACCAAGCTGTCTCTCAAATTGTTTATCTCAGTACATATTACATCATATTATATAAATCATATAATATGTTTAATGAGTGCGTTTATGTTTGTCTTTTTTTTATCATGGTTATCTTATTTTCTTGTTTGTAATTGACATATAAAAAGAAGATGATGTGGTATGATTGCCAATGAGACATCTCTCCACCAGAGACCAAATGACAGAAGTTAACAACTATAGTAGCTGCATCTGGGACCCACATACCAAATCTCAAACACACCAACTTGAAATGGTCCAGCGCAGGGCAGCTAGATACACTTGCAACAGATACCACAACACCAGCTCTGTCACTGAAATGCTACAATCTCAAAACTGGACAACCTTAGAAAAATGGTGAATAAGAACACGCATCATCTTTATCTATAAAATAATACACAATCTTGTAGCCATTTACCCAATAGACCTACTCATCCACTCTGACAAAAAAACAAGACAAAATTCACAATCATTTTTACAGACCAATACATACAACTAAAGACTCATATAAATACTCTTTTTATCCGAGAACAATATTACGATGGAACCTTCTAATCTACCTGTAGCTGCAGTAAAATGTTCTACACTTGACTGTTTCCGAGAACAGATCCCAATATCCATGATATCTGTTCTCAACAAACACCTACGCATATAAATTAAAATTACGATGTATATAGTTTTAACCAAAATGTATAGTACAAAGCAGAAGGAAAAGAAAACTACTTTGAACTTTTATTTGTATATATTTAACTGTACATAGAAATTATATATCCCACGCACGCCCTGCATAGTGACATTAGTCCCCGGCACGTTAACATAAGTATGTTGATGGAGTGCTGAACTATAAAGAAGAAGAAGGACACAGTACAGCCTTCAACAATGAGCAAAACCCATACCGCACAGTCAGCTATAAAAGGCCCCGAAATGACAAATGTAAAACAATACTAACGAGAAAATTAACAGCCTGATTTATGTACAAAACAATGAAAGAAAAACAAATATGATATACAGCAACAAACTACAACCACTGAATTATAGACACATACAGACTGTGGCAGGGTTAAACATGTTTGTGGGCGCACATCCTTCCCCTAGCCTGGGACAGTGTTGTAACTGCACAACATATGAACAAACTATAAAAATCAGGCCCTCAAGGGTCCTTTAATTAGGAAATAAACTGATTTGATTTGATTTATTGTCCTACGCGCAAGTTGCACGTCAGGGGACAAAGAAATACAGGGCGTCTGTCCTTCTATGCATCTGTCTGTCTGGTCTTGTTAGCGCTATCACATGTGCAATTCTTGCTGGATTTTTATGAAACATATCATAGGTTTATATCAGCAATGTCTCGGACGAGTTCAAAAATCAGTCCCGATCAATTATTTTTATGCCCCTTGGAAACATTAATTATATGGAAATTTGCATCATTAGTGCTCTCATTTGTTCAATGCTTGCCAGATTTTTATGAAACTTCCATCATAAGTTTAAATCAGCAATGTCTTGGACGAGTTCGAAAATCAGCCTTGATCAATTACCTTTTAAAGAGTTATGCCCCTTGGAAACATTTATTATATGGAAAATTGCATCGTTAGCACTCTCATTTGTTCAATTCTTGCCAGAATTTTATGAAACTTCTATCATAGGTTCAAATTAGCAATGTTTTGGACGAGTTCGAAAATCAGTGCCAATTAATTATTGTTAAAAGAGCCCCTTGGAAACATGAATTATACATGTTATATGGAAAATTGCATTGTTAGCGCTATCATATGTTCAATTCTTGCCAGATTTTTATGAAACTTATATCATAGGTTAAAATCAGCAATTATGTCTTGTACGGAAATTTTTATATGTTTTAAAAGTTTTCTTATACAGGTGTGGATCAAGGATTTTGAAAAAGGGAGGGGGAGTCGACCTTGGTAAGCCATTGTTTACCATGTGATACATGTAAAAAGTCTATGCATTTATCATATATGTAGCTCCATAAGGGGGCCCAGGCCACCTGATTACCCCCTGTAAATCCGCCTCTGCCACTTAATTTCTTGTATGCATGTCCTCATAATTCAATGGATTTTACTCATGCACCTCTACAGAATTTTTAAGATAAAGTTGGGTGTGTTTTGGTAGCAGGGGTGTGTATTACTGTGGATTCATTATTTTTTGTTGGATACCAATTTTCATGGATTTCATTGGTACTGGTGAACCACGAATTCAAATCTTCACAGAATTACAAATTTTTCATTTGCTTGTATGCAGACTTTAGCAAAACCATAAAATTGAATATCCATGAATGTGTAAGTTTTCCTCAATCCACAAAAATTGGTACCCACAAAAATAGATGAATCCTCAGTATATTAAGTACATGTATATAATTAAACATATTTAAAAATTTACAAGTATTATTTATTAATAGGTAAAGATAAAGACAGTGGCCATGCAAAATTTTGGGATGTGGTTGTCATAACAACAGCAGATGAAGATCAGAAAGAAATATTTGATGCTCAGCTGAAAGCCAAACTAAGCAGAAAGGAAGTGCCAACAAATCTACCTATTCATATTATATCAGATCCACCTGGGCCTAAACTTGGTAATTAAGTTAGCTCATTATTCATAATAACAAGATCAATACCATATCTGGACCTACGTCACTGCATGCAATTGATTAGGGTAACATGTACAAAATGTATACTGAAGCTTAACTGATTATTCCCTTTCATTGAAGCAAAGAAAACTTTTGACAATAATTTAGTTTGTACAATGAGTGTTGTGAAATTTCAAACTATCAACAAACAGAAAGTGGCTGCATGGCAAATGCAAAAATTTCTATCATGTATCATCAGTCAGGGGACTTACTTAAATGAGTGATTTTCTAAATCACTGATTCAAGTAACATTATGTCCACAAAGGTTGGAAGTAAGATTTGTCCTTCTTTAATAATCACCTATCTAAGTAGTACAAATAAATCACTAGACTTAGCGATTTAATTTTATTGTAGCTTTAAATATACAATACTAATGATCCAGGGACTAATTATGTTGCTAAAATTATCAGAACCAACATCTGTATTGATAGGATGACCGGTCATGTCAGGTGATGACCTTGTACTAAATTTGAGATAATAACTTAAAAATCACTTGTTTAAGTATCATACCTCAATTTCCTTAAAAAAAATCACTTCTTTAAGTATCATTATTTTAATAACCCCACTAAATTCAACACCCCCGAACAGTGACATTTTGATCGCGAACAGTAGAATTTTATTACATAATCTGTAAGATGAAACCTTGAATTTTACAGAAAAAATACTCCTACTGGTGGGAAAAATCTGTTAAAAAAGTATCAGTTCATTATGAAAAGCCTTTATTATAGCATTTTTTCAACTAAAATTGAATTTACAGCTAAATGATTGCATCAAAGGCATAAACCTTGCTACTTAAAATAAGCAAAAGGTTCATTTTTTTCAATTTTACTAATGAAAAGATATTATCTAAACCTATGTGTTTTAAATTTTTGTAAAACTACAAAATCAAAATTTGAGACAAAACTTCGAATTTGCTACTTAAACAAGTGATTTAAAAATCACTTATTTCAGTAACTCCCCTGACTGATCATGCGGCTTCATGCTACAACTCAATATTATCAAGCTGCAGACCAAATACAAATGAAATATAAAATCATTCCTTTGCATAAATGCCAAGAAAAGTTTGACAAAATATTTGTACAAGGTTTTTGGGACTTTTGTCTAACTTTTTATTGCGTCTTTTGCCATTTATTTCTTTTGAATATATGAAGTAAACTCTGCTGAACAGATTTGACTAAGGAATCGGTACCATGCCAAGTGTTTGTATACAGACTGAACAGATTGGACTAAGGAATCGATACCATGCCTTGTAACAGTCAATAAAGTTGTCATGGTTATTTGCATGTACATGTTGTAGTACAAATTCTAGATAATATTTCGTACATAAACAACAGTGAATCACAAGCAGAGACAGATTTTGTTTTTTGGGGGGAGGGGCACTGGGCCCCTTATAAAGCTTCATTTATGGTTACCGGTCCCACTACAAATTTTGTCTAGTTTGGGGGCCCCGCAGCCCTCCCCTTTTTCAAAATCCTGGATCCGCATCTGACAAGCCTCAAAAGGCTAGTTGGCACAAATATACAGGTTTATTGACTATAATACATATGCTTACAATTGTAATATATTGTTTTTCATGTACGTGTACCAAGTTATACTTTAAAATAAAAATATCTATCATTACATCTATCTACCATTATGACATTTACAACATGCCACCACAGACTTCTGATTAATTGCAGTGACATTAAATTGTTTTTATTGTATATTTTGAATTGTAAATACTCTCAGCTAGGTCTATAAAAGAGAGGCAAAAGATACCAAAGTAATATTCAAACTCATATGTCAAAAATAAACTGACAACGCCATGGCAAAAAATTAAAAAAAGATGAAAAGACAAACAACAGTATTAAAAAAACAACAAAGGAAATGAAAGACTGAGCATTAGAAACCCCATCAAAAACCAGGGGTGATCTTAGGTGCTCGGAAAGGGTAAGATGATCCTGCTCCACATGCTGGACCCACCATGTAAATGTTAAAAGAAATCTTACTACAATGTTTTTTTTTATTTCCTGTTTAATTTTAGGTAATGGAGGTTCTACTTTAACTGCTTTGGACTTTTTACACAAGGAATATGGAAATGGTCTGTATGACAATAGGGTGTTACTATTACATGCTGGTGGACAGAGTAAAAGGATGCCTAGCGCTAGCATACTTGGCAAAATATTTTCTGCAATACCCACTGGGAACCCCTTATACCAGATGTTAGACTTCAAACTAGCTATGTATTGGCCATTTATACCTCGAATGCCTGCTGGAGTATTTTTGTCATGTGCTGATGATTTTTTGGTTTATAACCTTGGTGTGGAAACATTGCCATGGAAATTTCAAGAAACTGGGTTTACAGCTTTAGCTCATCCCTCATCAGTTCAGATTGGTACCCAGCATGGTGTGTATGTTTTGGAGAACCCAGAAACTATTGACACAACCAAACATATCTTAAACCAGAAATGTGTAGAAGTGTTACAGAAACCCTCTCAGTCTGTTATGTATAAGAAAGATGCTGTTGTAAAAGATAAAATCTTAAAATTCCCAAGTAACATTAAAGTCAAAGGGGATGTTGCTTACACAGACAGTTCATTTTTCTTTGGAATGGATGTGGCCAAGAAACTAATTGGTTTTTACAAAGAAAATTCTCCAATTACTTGCGAAATTGATGCCTATGGTGATTTCCTTCAGGCTCTTGGACCAAATGCTACCATTGATTACACATCACATATTCCTAATGTCAGCAATCCAACACCAAGCCTGATACCAACCAGAGAAAAAATCTTTCATTTACTGAAAGAAACAAACATCTCACTTCTATTAATGAACTCCTCTAGGTTCATACATATTGGAACTACTAAGGAATTTTCTCAGCATTTTTGTTTCGACAAACAGTTTCAAGAAGAAGTAGGCTTGGAAATGGATGTCTTCAATAATTGGGTAGAAAACAGAGAAAGTAAAGAGTTCTCAAAGAAGATGAAATTTTCTGATGTCAACCAAGGATGTGTAATGCATTCTTGTGTAACGTCAGATTCAACTGTATCACCCGGTACTGTCGTTGAATATTTTCATGCTGATATACCTGTAAACATTGGTCAAAATTCTATAATTAGTAACTGTGCTTTGTTGACATCTGAGCTGAGTGAGAATCTAGAGCAGTGTGACGTTCCACATGATGTATTTTTACATACAGTGCCTGTATTTCACAATGGTTCCACAATGTTTGTCACAATCTTCTTCCATGTAAATGATAATCTCAAAAAACAGGCACCTCCTCAGGATCTGATTTTTCTACAGAGGACTCTTGGTGATGTATCGTCTATATGTAAACTAGACATGCAAAAGTTATCAAATAATGGCAGCGGTGATGAAGATAACTCAAAAAAATTAAGTCTTTGGACAGCTCCAATTTATCCTCTTGAGAAAACAATGTCCGAATCTTTTCTATTATCACTGAAAATCATTACAAAAATAAGAACAGAGAAAAAGTCTGATTTGAATCTCAATGATTATCATTTAGTTTCCATTGCTGAAATATTGAAAATCAAAGATTTCAAAACTATGTTAAGTTTCAGAAGCAGATTGAATAGAACTATATGTGACAATGAATAGGTTTTTAATTATTTAACTGCTGTAGGAAACAGTTATTTATTATAGCTAAATTATTTATTATTATATTTGGAGGGACTTTTTAATAAATTTGGTACTACATATTGTTGTCTGTTATATATATATTGAATCTCATTTTAAAAGGAAACAGTTTTGTTTTGATTAACAATGATTAATTTCTCTGTTTCCAATAGGCTATAAGATGCAGATTGCATTCAGTACCAATGGATTTTTTAAGAAAAGGTGTTTCATAATACAAATATTTTTGAGTGGGTGTGTTGTACCAAAGAGTTCAAATTTATCTACATCATTGTACATATTTACCTATTTCTTATTTTTGTTATAGAAATCTTTTAAAAGACGTTGTAAGAAGTACTGTAAATACCGAAATTTTGGCCTGCTTTTATTATTTCGTGCATTTATTGTTGCGAAATTTGAAGAATGGACAAAAAATGCCAGGTTAATCATTGTGATTTCAATAAATTATGCAATTCAAATAATGATATCAAAATTTGAAATTGTAAGTTATTATTTTTGAGGTATCTGTTCTGTCACAGTTTTGTAAATAATAAAAACATTGCAAATATTTCGGAATTTACAGTATGTAGCCATTCTCTTCTTCCGCCACCAAGTTGTGCACACACTTCGATATACTAATATAGTTTTGAATAGCACTTTATGGATTGGTTCCCTCAAAAATCATCTTTTGATTGATTGGTTGATGATTGCTTTATGTCACATAAATGCAAAAAGGCAATATCACAGTGATCATCTTGTGATATAACACAGCCTTTTTAATAAACAAATAAGGGAAAAAAGAGACTGGTGATTTACAGTGAAAGAGCTTTTATCAATCAACATAATAGTGTGACAGTGTAAATACACAAATGATAGTACACATCAATGTATGCCCCTGTAAGTGCTTTATTCAGGGACAAAGGCCCCTGGTCCCATCAAAAGGTTAGCTGCAAAAGAAAAGCATATGAATCAACAGTCCTGAATATTTTTGTCAAATGAAAAACAAGTGTAACTGAAAGAAAATAACTAACATTTTCTTGACACAAGGCTCCTGTCATTTGATAGATACATTCAGAATGTAACTAGAACAGCCTGTTTATTATAATTAGCTATCATGGCTATTCTAAGTTACAACCAGACAGCTGTGTAAAACAATTGAACATATAGTGAAAATCACCTTCAATACACAAGATTGGTTCTTAAAATGACAACATCTGATGAAATTACATGGCATTTCTGACCCAAGAGCATTTTAGTTACTGAGAACTAGTAAAAAGTCTATTTCAACTGATGAATAAAGCACATTTCCATAGCCTAGTATATTGATCAGTGCACATTCAAAAAGAATGCAGTGGCAAAAAAATAACATCAAAGATACCAAGCTTATATTATGGAACACAAGACGCCTGTTTATATCAGACTCATCAGTTGTGCTCAAATCAAAACAGTTAGAAGGCCAAAGATACATGAGTAATATTGTCACCTGCTTAAATACATTACTGTTACTCATATTAATTCAATATTATGCGAAAATGTGCTAGTTTGTCACGTTTGGAGGACGTGTTTTTCAACAAATAATCGGCATTCCCATGGGAACCAACTGTGCTCTTCTCGCCGACTTGTTCCTTTAGTCATATGCGGCTGACTTCATACAGGAACTTCTTAGGAAGAAAGAAAATAAGTTAACATTATCCTTTAACCTCAATATCCGCTTTATAGATGATGTTCTCTCACTTAATAATTCACAGATGACAACGGATATGTTCCAATTTTTGTAACTACAATCCCGTTCCATTTCCCCCGAATGTGACCTACCGAATTAGACTTTTCATCGGGTTTGTACTAACATGAGGGTGGCACATGTGGAGCAAGATCTGCTTACCCTTCCGGAGCACCTTAGATCACCCCAGTATTTGGTGGGGTTCGTGTTGCTCAGGCTTTAGTTTTCTATGTTGTTTTTTGTGTACTGTTGTTTGTGTGTCTTTTTTCTTTTAAACCATGGCGTTGTCACTTTATTTTCGACTTAATTGTGAGTTTGAATGTCCCTTTGGTATCCTTCGCCTCTCTTTTGAATAATGCATACTCTTTAGAGCTTTTTGGTTCATTTGTATGTTTAAGATAAAAGGTATCCTTATTTGAGATAGTGTCCTCATTTCTTAATCTTGCAACGTTTGATGGTGTTGTAGGGTTCTCACCTGGAGTTGGGTCGACCCCCTTACTGATTCAAACCAAAGACACTCAAATTGGTATTTGCTGTTTTTCTTCTAAGCATGACAGTATTTAGGGCAGCATGGACTGGTTGGGTTGGCAGAGTCAGTATAGTGTGTCCAGGTAGGGTAACCAGTGAATTGTTAGGTAACAAGTTTTAAAATCCACATAATGTGTTGGTCTAGGACCAAACTGGAGATTTTTTTGAAAGTTCATTCACCCATAATGGTACTTTGGTACCATAATATCCAATATGATCACAAGTTTCCTGATTAGTCTAAATCTAGGTTTCAATAGAACCATGATTCTGAAACCAGATATTTCAGGAATGTTGTAATCGATAGACAGAAATGGTCCACAGTAAAATTGGTCAGCAATTCATAGTAATTCATTTTCTACAAAAATTAACCATTTAACGCCATTTCGTCCTAGGTGAAAGTTGGTCTTTTTGACATTGAAACATCTTTTTTATTCATATTGTGTCATAGATCAAACTTATTCGTTCAGTGTATATTTACTTGTTTTTGTGTATTGTCTTTTTGATCGAGTTAAGCCATTTCAATTGATATTTTATTGTGTGTCTTTTTATGTTGTAATGTTATACCACTGTTTCAGGTTAGGGTGAAGGTTGTCGCCTGTTAAAGCGTTTAAACCCGCTGCATTTTTATGCACCTATTCTAAGTCAGGAGCCTTTTTTTCAGTGGTTGTCGTTTGTTGGTGTGGTTCATAAGTGTTTCTCGTTTCTCTTTATTTATATAGATTAGACCGTTGGTTTTCCTGTTTGAATTGTTTTACACTAGTCTTTTTTGGGGCCGTTTATAGCTTACTGTTCGGTGTGAGCCAAGGCTCCGTGTTAAAGGCCGTACTTTGACCTATAATTGTTTGCATTTTACACATTGTGGCTTGGATGGAGAGTTGTCGCATTGGCACTCATACCACATCTTCTTATTTATATATAACTGAAACCTTCAACTGACTTCCTTTAAAAAATACTGCCCTTAATGACGATTATTCAACATCGTTTAAGCTATAATACAAAGGTAGATTGACAGATACTGCACAGTAAAGCTAAAATCAGCAATACCAGATCTACAAAAATAACCATATAGCTGAAACCTTCAATTGCAGTCTGTCCTTATATGAGTTACTGCCCTTTAATCGCAATTATTTTTATTGTTTCAGCGTTTCCCGTATCAACTAACAAGATTCATAAAATAAACCAACATGAATATAACTGAAGCAATAGGAGTAACACATTGTTGGATTTAATGTCCTGAAATTACGATTTGGCCGATTTTTTCAATTGTGTCTACTAGAAAAATGGGAAAACTAAAACAAATGGAAATATTCTGTAACATTATAGCAATAATCACCAAATAATATTCAGTGCAAAAATGTCAATAAGACTGAAACCATCAATTGATCTTTGTGAGAGTAATTTCTCTGCAATGACAATTTTTTTACCATTTTAACGTTTTGTCTATCTTTGTGAATGATATCGTAGTGACAAGAAACTTGAAACAGCAAAAATGACGAGCAATACAAGATCTTCAAAACAATCAACATCTAGAACCGTTTGTTTGGTAACTTGCTTTTCGGCAACAACATTTCATCAATGCCTTTCTGTAAGTAACACAAGTTCTGGAATATTGTGGATTCTTATATATGAACATGTAAACCGAAAATTCACAATGGGAAGATAAAAAAGTTTTCTAAGTCATAAAAATTGTTCTCACTGCCATCACTTACTATCGAATCCCAAGTGTAGGCCTAAGTATGATAATACGAAATAATGAATACTACTAAGATTTATTTAAAGTCCGGTATGGCATAAAACAAGTAGACATAAACATAAGCTCTTCTGAACATTTGACCGACATACAAGACATAATAATGCAGGCAAACATGCAGTAAGTTAAATAAACCACGTTTGAAGCACTTTTATTATGGAGGTCTTTATAAGCAAATGTTATAACAAAAGCATTAAAAACTGATGTAGCTAATCATATATGGTAACTGCTGTGAATATATATTTAAGCATGATTGAAAGCTGGTAAATAAGGATGATATGAAATACTAGCCCCATGATGGATATGACATAGAATGGTATTAAAAAATCAATAAGTAAATTTAGAATCTGTACAAACTGTTCATTGGCCATAATTTCCATCCCATGACTTTAAACTATTTTTAAACTGACTGAAATAAGCATTTTTTTTAAAACCATCTGGTAAATCATTCCATATATGTAAATGTATAATCAAGCTGCTTTAGTTATATTCTTTTTATATCATATATATTACCAAAATAGTAAATAGTAAAAAAAGATGAAGTTAGTGCTGATTGTTACTATTTCAAAATATTTAGAGCTTACTATAGGTCGGTGTGCTTGTCTTTTGTTGAAGACCGTAAGCTGACATGAGAGAAACGTTCCTCTTCGGCGTTTTTCTTTTAAAACTTTTTTTTTTTGCTTTGAATTAAAAAAAAGGTTTTATGAACAGAGAGGCTGCAAATTTATTAATTTATCTTTTGGACAGGTAAATGTTTAATTATTAGGTTTTTTCCCTAGTTGTTCATTTTTAGTGATTGCATATACGTTTAAACATCAGTTTTTATTATAAGGAGAGGATAAGACAAGTCTGACAATATTACATTTAGTGCCTTATTTCTTGGCCTTCTGACCTTTGTAGTGTACACCCAGGGACGGGATAGAAAATATCCAATGGCACACCCAACAAGTACAGAAACAATAATCCAGATATTCATTGTCATGACACATAACATTAATGTATATCCTAATATAACACGAATCACGTGAATGGCTGCGACCTTACAAATAAGTGAATATGATACTGTCTTTACTCTTTCTTCGTTATCCGACCTAAAAAGCACAAATTAAACCATATTAGATGATTAGATTAAGTATACATTAAAAAAAATAAGTTAAGATATATTGCCATATCATGAATATGTATGGTCATACATCCTTCCGATACATATATATTGGAATTGCACAAGGTCATGCTTTTCTCAGAATGTTTATGATGATTAAAATTAAATCCTTTGGATGGGTACACATAGATATTTTAATCTTGAAAACTAAGATTTATTTGTAGAAGTTTCTTTCGGAAAATTGTGAGTACTTTTATATTGGTTGTATGGTATGTTTTGTCTTTTTGTAAGTTTTTCGTGCTTCGTGCCAATCTGATAAGTCAGGCCCTTTCCAGCTGATTGTTTACGATTCGTGGTACACCACTGTCCCAGGTCAAGGAAGAGTTAAGCGTTCACAAACTTGATTAACATCGTCACATTGTTTATGTTCCTGTCCTAATTGAGGAACTTTTAATACAGTGGTTGTCGTTGGATGCTGTCTGCCGGAACCTTTAATAGCTAACCTTTCTATACGGTATGGGGTTTTCTCATTATTGAAGGCCGTACGCTGACCTACAGTTGTTTTCATCCTTGTCATTTGGTCTCTGGTTGATACTTGTCCCATTGGAATGACATCTCCTTATTCTAATATATTACAAACAAGACTTATTTTTTGAACAACGTTATCACACATTTTTTTCTTAGAGAAACGATAAAGAAACAAAGAAAAAATAAAGTAACTTACTATACTTTAAGGATGTTCGCTACTCTGTTTCAAAATAACAAGCTTTTTAAAAGACTGTTATAAATTGAATGAATATAAATAAAGGAGATAAAAAATTGAAAAAATAAAGGGTCCGTGTGCTTGTTCTCGAGATATAAGCTATTGAAAATTTGGCGGGAAATGATTCTCTCTAGATTTTTGATACATTTAACATTGGCAGCTTTTTTCTTTCAAAAACTATGAAAAAATAACAAGGATTTTATAAGATTTTCAAAAACGGCTTTTTAAACTATCATGTAATAAAATTATGAAAAGAAAAGTAGGGGTTAGTGGGTAAAATTTTTATTGGCACTACAAGGATAAATCTAGAGGAATCCGAAAATCTGACAAAAAAAATCAAAAACAAAGAGTAGCGAACATCCTTAAGCGACTGATCACTGAATTGTTTATTATCTTCAAAGACATGTTCTGTTAGTGGAACAAAAACTGCCTACCCTTCCAGAGCACATGTCGGTACTGTTAGTGGAACAGAAACTGCCTACCCTTCCAGAGCACATGTCGGTACTGTTAGTGGAGCAGAAACTGCCTACACTTCCAGAGCACATGTCGGTACTGTTAGTGGAACAGAAACTGCCTACCCTTCCAGAGCACATGTCGGTACTGTTAGTGGAGCAGAAACTGCCTACCTTTCCAGAGCACATGTCGGTACTGTTAGTGGAACAGAAACTGCCTACCCTTCCAGAGCACATGTCGGTACTGTTAGTGGAGCAGAAACTGCCTACCTTTCCAGAGCACATGTCGGTACTGTTAGTGGAACAGAAACTGCCTACCCTTCCAGAGCACATGTCGGTTCTGTTAGTGGAACAGAAACTGCCTACCCTTCCAGAGCACATGTCGGTACTGTTAGTGTAACAGAAACTGCTTACCCTTCCAGAGCACATGTCGGTACTGTTAGTGGAACAGAAACTGCCTACCTTTCCAGAGCACATGTCGGTACTGTTAGTTGAATAGAAACTGCCTACCCTTCCATAGCACATGTGTTCATCTCAAGTTAGAAGTAGAATTCGTGATGTTTTTTATTTAGTATTCTGTGTTTTGTTTTGCTTTTTATGCGATATTTTTTCCTTCTTTAGTTTGAATAAAGAAGAATTGATGAGTATGTAAATGTTTTGTTATCTACTATATATTGACCATAGCCTTGCCTACCCTTTACCTTTAGGCTTTCAGAGAGTATCACAACGGGTGTCATAAGTGTAGCCATTTATTTTTGTGCAATCTTTAGTTTTCTAGTTGTTGTCTTTGTGCTTTTTTTGCTTTTGGTCATGCTGTTGTGTTTTTCCTTCTAACTATGATTTATAATTGCACCCACCTTGAAATTTGACAACTTCTTTACTTTTTCATCCACAACATAAATTTTAAATAAATATATGAGAAAAATTTATATATAAACTTACCTATATGAAGGCAATTTAAATTCAATTACATTTATACTTTCAAATAAAACACTTAAAACTACTGTTGCAATCATCTCTAAAACTAAACCTGAAATAAATACTATATTATAGATTATTTGACTTATATAGATATCGTACATTGTAAAACGGAAAAAAAGGGATTTTGTTGTTACAACTTCATGAATTTTGAGAAAGAAGTTATTCTAATGCAATGAATATGCAGCCTTCCGGATCAATGCGAGTTCGCCCACGATTTTTTTGGTTGGAGTCCACTTGCTCAATCTTTAGTTTTTTCTTTGTGGACTTTTTTTCTAGTGGCCTTTTCTTCTTTAGGCTATGGTTTTAAGATAACTGTTTATCTGTAAACAAAATTGTATAAATGTTATTCGTATTATGGTGCTGTTAATTTCTAAATTTATTTTTTGTTTGTTTGTTAGAGCTATCCCGTAAATCTCTTTTTCTTTATTCAAATTACGATTCTCATACATTATATACACATTATGTCCAAATGTTTTCTATAAATTGTTGCTGCGACCATTGGTATCTCTCATAGTTCGTTACATGTACATGTTTCAGACTGATGGAAGAAAACATTATATTCCCCATCATGCAGTGATAACCCCACAGAAATCAACAACAAAAGTGAGAATAGTGTATGATGCATCGGCAAAAATCAACAAGGAAATGCCAAGTTTGAATGAATGTTTATACCGAGGTCCCGTTCTTCTGAACAATTTATGTGGAATATTCATGAGATTCAGACTACACAAGATTGCTATGGTCGCTGACATAGAGAAAGCGTTCCTACAAGTAGGATTACAAGAAGGTGATGAGAGATGTTACACGATTCATGTGGCTGAAAGATTGTGCTTATACGTATGTAGAGAGACAAAATATACAGGAATACAGATTCTGTAGAGTGCCATTCGGTGTAATTTCCAGTCCATTTCTATTGGCAGCAACAATAGAACATCATGTTGATATGTATAATACACCAATAGCAGATAAAATCAAGAATAATATATATGTAGATAATCTCATTTCGGGATGTGAATCAGTTCAAGAAGCATTGAAATTCTATTCTGAGGCAAAATATATCTTTAAGGAAGCGGCAATGAATTTAAGGGAATGGATATCAAACAGTAGTTCTATAAATGAGTTATTGCCAGCCAGTGATAAGACCGATGTTTTACAAGTTGGTGTTCTCGATCACATCTGGAATATCAAGGATGATAAAGTAGCAGTGAAACCTTCAAAATGTACAGTTTGTCCAGGAAAGACAACTAAACGTAGAACTTTAATGGAACTAGCAGAAATATTTGATCCAATTGGATTGTTTTCTCCTATCATCATTAGTGGGAAAATGTTTTTACAAGATCTATGGAAAAGAAATTTGAAATGGGACGATGAACTTTCTACAGAAGACCTTTCAAAATGGATTAACATCAGTAGTGAGCTGAAACGAGTCTCTGAAGTTTTCATTCCTAGATGTGTGTATTTGCATTCAGACTCAATTGATAAAAAATGCAAACTTCTGTGTTTCTGTGATGCATCTGCAAGAGCTTATTCAACAGCTGTGTATTTACATCAAACTTGTGAACAATCTTCTAGAAGCGATTTCATCTTTTCGAAGTCTAGATTAGCACCAGTGAAGGAGATGAGTATTCCCCGACTAGAGCTTATGGCCGTCTTGATTGGTGTTAGGAGTTTAATATTTGTGAAAAGTGAATTAAATATTTCCATTGAGGAAATGTACTTATGGAGTGATTCTCAGTGTGTTCTCAAGTGGATTTCTACTAAGAAAGAACTAAATATGTTCGTGAAAAATAGAATAGCTGAAATCAAAGCGAGCAAGGATATCAAATTCATGTATGTCAACACAAAGGAGAATCCAGCTGATGTAGCTACAAGAGGAACTACAGTTTCTAAACTTAAGAATGATAGTCTTTGGTGGCATGGTCCTACATGGTTTAGTTATGATACACAAAAATGGACAAATGATTCTTTTGAAGACAATTCGTCGGTGGAAAACATGTATCAATCTGAAATAAAACGTGAAAAGAGTAGATGTAGTACCTTACTTTGTAATCAGACCGAGGAAGAAAACAGACCACCTTTCGGTATAGACTGCAGAGAGTTTTCGTCTTACACAAAAGTAATACGTGTAACTGCGTGGATTCAAAGATTTGTTTCAAGGATGAAAAAAGACAAATGCAGTCCTGGAAAAGTGTTAACATACAAAGAATTGAAAGTTGCCGAAATGAATTGGATAAAATATATTCAAAGGAAACATTACTTAGATGTTTTTGAAGCAATAAACGAGCACAAAAGAAATAATCTACAAAGACAACTCGGATTGTTCATTTCTCAAGATGGAATTCTGTGTTGTAGAGGAAGACTGGAAAATGCAGATATTTCTGAATCTGCTAGACTACCTATTCTACTTCCCCGTGGGGAGGACCTCACGCGGTTATTTGTTGAAAAAATTCATAAGGAACAACTTCATTGTGGTGTGTCACAAACCTTAAGCAAAGTCAGACACGGATTTTGGATACCCCAAGGCAGATCAACTGTGAGACAAGTTCTGAGACACTGTTTGATTTGTCGTAAGCATGAAGGAGGGCCTTATCGAATGCCTGATATGCCTCCGTTTCCAAAATCAAGAGTTTCACAGTCAACTCCTTTTTCTTCAACTGGCTTAGATTATTTGGGACCCTTGATTACAAAGTCGAACGGTGAAAACAGCAAAAGGTGGATTTGCCTTTTTACATGTTTAGTTACACGAGCAATACATTTAGAGGTTATCAGTGACATGACTACAGAGGAATTCCTATATGCATTTCGAAGGTTTATCTCAGTAAGAGGTACCCCGAGTACAATAATAAGTGATAATGCAACTCAATTCAAATTAGGAAGTGAAACATTAAAGTCAGTATGGAATCATGTGATAAAAAGTGAAGATGTTCAAAATTTAACCATGAATAAAGGAATATGTTGGAAATTCATTACAGAATTAGCTCCCTGGATGGGAGGTTTTTATGAAAGGTTAGTCGGAGTTGTGAAACGTTCTCTTAGAAAATCTTTGAATAAAAGACTTATAACTGATGTACAAATGAGAACTATTAATAAGGAAATTGAAGCTGTTGTAAATTCTAGACCACTGATTTACGTAGGAGAAGACATCAATTCTAAAATAACGTTGACACCAAGTCATTTTTTAACCACTGCAAAACCAGACGATGATTTCGATCTTGACGATCCATATTATTCACCTTTAGAAAGTTCAAAGGAGAAGTTATTAAAAGCTTGGAAAAAAGGACAGAAACTCTTAGATTCATTCTGGAATTTATGGAGAAACGAATACTTACTCAGTTTAAGAGAAAGAACGCAAACAAAATTAAAGAGTTGCAGAGTCCAGTCATCATTTCTACCACAAATTGGAGATGTTGTGCTTATAAAAGACAATTTACCCAGATCAACATGGAGAATGGGAAGAATAGTGAAACTTATATCAAGTAATGATGGTGAAATTAGGAGTGCAAAAGTACAAGTGTCTACTGGACTAATATTAGGAAGACCATTGAATCTTCTTTATCCTCTAGAATTGGATTGTCATACTGAAAACAAGGAAGTCAAGAAATTTGACAAAGATCCAGTTTCAATTGCAAGACCTAAACGATTAACTGCAGAAATTGCAAAGCAGAAAATCAAATCGATATTACAGAAATAAGTACTTCGTTCTGAGATGGATTTCTTGTAAATATGGATTTCTAATTATGTGTGTGATTCGTTATTTCATTTGAAGTGGACTTTATATGTGACTATTTTGAAGAAACGATTTAAGAAAGGAAATAACATAAGATACTCTCTCTGTTACATGTAACAAAGGAAAGAAAGGTAATAACATAAGATACTCTCTCTGTTACATGTTACATAGGCAAGAAAGGTAATAACATAAGATACTCTCTCTGTTACATGTTACAAAGGCAAGAAAGGTAATTTCATAATATACTCTCATAGTTGAAAGAAAGCTAAGCGAGCGGCTCTACAAGTCTACGATACTTACTGAACAGATCGTCTGTTTGCCATTTCGAGAACAAAAAATGTGATGTCGTGTTTGTTGCTAGGAACTTTTGCTAGAACAGAAAACTTTAATTATTTGTTAACATTACTTTTCATAATTAGATACCACCTCAAATACTGTTTTTCATTAAAAAAAAACAAAAGATGCATAGCATTATGGTCAGTAACAAAAGTTGCTTTTTTGAAATGGTGTTTTCTCATTGTTGAATGCCGTAAGGTTGCCTATAATTACTTTTATCTTACCTCCTATACATTTCTAGGAATATGATTGGTTAAAAGCAACCGCGTGGAGACCGTGTATATTCCATATTGGGTTAGTAGGCGGGGCTTTTTTCATTACACGGTTAGTAGTGGTGTTACGTCCCTTTATAAAAACAACACGATGATGAGGAAAAATCTTAAAGGTTTCAACAGACGAAGAAATTGATGATGAACGATTGCAATAAATTCATTAAACACATTTAAAGCTT